AAAAAAAAAAAAAAAAAAAAAAAAAAAAAAAAAAAAAAAAAAAAAAAAAAAGGAAAAGCTTGCGTACAGTTTCGAGAGCACAAAAATGGCGGAATTCCGTAAGGGAGAAGAAGGGTCTCGGGGCTTGAGGGCTTTGACTCTTCAGCTTAACGCTGATGACGACCACGACGGTGCCTCTGTTACTCCCTGTGATGGAATAATGGAAAGAGTGGGGGTGATCTGGTAATTAATAAGAAATAAAATTAATTTTTATTTATTTATTAGTCTATCTATATCCACTTTCGTTAAATCTTCATGCTAAAATGCCCACTTTCGAAGTCATTCAAACATGGGGACTGGGGCTATTTTGCAAATATCCCAAAATATTGGGCCACAAGATTCCATCTTTTGACATTTTTATTTATTTTTTTATTTTATTATTTTATTCAATCGCCTGATCTAAAATGAGATTTTGTAGTAACAACAGATTTGTGTTTGGCAAAGTTTCTTTTTAGGGTAAAATGATAATCTTTTATGTTATTTTAGTAAATAAAATGTTGAAAAATAAATTATAATAACAAAAGTTGGGAACATAGTTTTACGAATAATAAAAAAATGAACGAGGCATTCTATGCACAATGATGTTACGAGTAAGTGGCGATGAAAGACGGGTTAGCTTTATTGGTAAGAAATCTAATATTGACTAGCGTTTATTAGCTTAGTTGAGTTTGGTTTCTATTTTAGTAGTAGAGACTATTACGAGCAAGAAAACGGATGTGCTCAGAGGTGAACAACGTGTTAGCGAAAGGGAGGCCGGTAGCTTTGCTTTAACATCTTCTGCCAATTGTCAAGTGGAAAAAAAACATAGCTGAAGCTACCCGCTTCTTCTTGTAGCGGATGCTAGGCGCTCTCACCGAACAAATACCCTAGGACTGCTGTAACTCGAAGTCCCGCACCTGAAAATGGAATCCCTAAAGAAGGAAGGCAAGTTGTATAGGTGAATGAGTAAGTAGCTCAAGTACTTACATGCAAAACGTGCTTGTACGAGCTAATAGTAATAATAAGTGCATCGATATGTCGTTCATTACCTGCAAGGTCATGCCGATATAAACCTATTTCATAATTCAATAAAGGTATGCAAGATTCTGTTTTTACATGTAGATCTACCGTATTAAGCAAATTTAACATTTTTGACGTTGACCAAAATGCTTTTGCATAATGAGAGTGTAAAATTATCGACACGAGCATAGCTCGACAGTAATCGACATGTATTATTTTTTTAGAGACGGGAGCTCAAAAAAACGTCACACCCCAAGTTTGTTGTACTAAAATATAATGTAAATTTAATTAAAAAAACACTAAAACACTTGTAAGCTAAAGTATTACATTTCTTCTTCAGTGCATGGGGTCAGTAGGGAGGGAACGCCCTTTATTACATGTTTATAAGAAAAACAAGCCAATCACACAACCAAAAATTCACAGTTTGTCAAACTTTGCAAACACAGCAGGTAAAAGACACTAACAAGTGACCCAAAAAGATAACAAAACAAAACAAATCAATGAATCAAACCACAGGATATCGATATCGATATCGATTTCCTCAACCAGTAGAACACACCAAACTCTACAAGATCTACAAGGGAGGCTGCCACCTCCAATATCGCAACTATGCAGACCTCACACCCGATCCAAAGTCGATATCGGATGTGAAGGACCAGACTCTGTGTTTTTGCAACGACTTAACTCTTAAACCTTCTCCGTTGAAGGTGTTAGTTTGACGACTAGAGTGAGCGGGGGAAGGCCTTCAACGACGCCATGGCTATGGAACTAGTAAGATTGTGGTCGATATCTACACCGATCTCAGGAGACCAAGTTAGCAACAGCTCAGTCATATTATAGTTCATCAAAAGGGGTCCTCCCAAGTTCAATATTTGCAATTCTTTATATTTGCAATTCTTTATAAGTCAACACTCACATTTTCATTCTCCATGCACAAGGCATCATTGGATTCCGAACTATCACATACGCAGCTTAATATCGTATCGTTCACCAAATCTTCGAATATGGCTTCCCATGTCTCGGTACCAATAGTTTCGGCATCGGAATGAAGGTTCATCCATGTTCGGGTTCTGCTCATGTCCTTCGTGACAAGGTGGTCCAATGTAAGAGGCTGTGGCAATGGAAGAAGATGCCAATATACTCCTTCACAAACCTCGACAAGATATTCCGACCGTAAACAGGGTTTTACAAACGAGAACCACGGGGGGTAGCTTTGACAGACATCAGCAAGTACGTCGTTAATACAGTCGAAGAGGAGCTTGTGGTCAGAGCATAGCTGGTTTGGGAAAAGCTCTACCTCGTCGACTAGTAACAAGTCGAGAAGCTGTTCTGAAGAAAGCCACCTCACACAGATTTGGTTCCAGGTAAGGCCTGATGCTGATAACACCCTCTTTACATAGTCAAAAATCACATCCTTATCTCCCTTTGACGATTTCGGGATGTTAGCTTTATCGGTTTCTGCAGATTCACAATCATCAAATTCGATATGCACTGGTTGTACTGGTAACCCTGCTGATACAATAAACTGATATTAGCCAGGGTAAGTACTAGCATCAATACCTTGACTTACTACTGAAATAGATAAAAATGAAACACAAAATACACAGATAAACTCCGTAGCTGTTCTTAGTGATTACCAGGTAGGGACATGGCATGCACGGGGCTCGTGTTATCATCCACAAATAGTGGCTCAAGAACTGAAACAGGGCTCGGTCGCTCTGGAACATCTGGAACACCCCCTAAATCTCCATCAGCCTTTCCAGGAGTCGATGAGCCAGAAGGGAATGCCGATGCAGATAAAGGCAATTGATTTTCTTCAGAAAAATCCTAAACAGAAGAAACAATCTAAGCAAAACGCTTCAATAAACACAGAGGTTCACAAGATAATTGAGCAGTAATACTACTTCTAGAACATTTATGAGCATCAAACTTTGAGAAAACATACCATTTAACATTTTTCACTTAGATATTGAGCAGTACTACTACTTCTAGAACACATATGAGCATCAAATTTTGGAAAAACTTGCCATTTATCATAGCTTTGTAAACCAGAAGCAGGCTTATCATTACACCTTGGATATCTTGCAGATGGATTTTCATCATCATGGCATATACCATATACTAATTCATCTTATAGTCATAGATTATAGACTTTAATAGCAAGAGAGATAGTGAGAGATATAAAGACAGAGATTTAGAAGATATATTACTTGAGGCAAGCTTATTGGAAGTTCGTTTTCACGCACATCTCGAGTGTCATCATTGTGTTCTTCTCTGATAGGGGAAGAGGCAATAGGGTCAGAGGGAGCACCAGAAACGCTTCTATCATCGCAAGCATCGGGCATTTCACCATTCTGATCCTCTATCAAAAGAGAAGATTCACTTGAGTCAGAGGAAGCCTCCAAAGAACTTCTCTCCTCATGGACTGCAATTTGATTTACTTTTAGAATCTCAATATCACCCGCAAGTATATTATTGAACATGAATGGTTAATAAACAAGACTAAAATGATTGCCAAACCAATCAACATTTAGATCATGAATTGGACTATTCAGAGATACATACCTTCAGAAACCATCCCATTAGTACTAGAACTCACAGCTTCTTTCCTTATACTTTGATTAACTAAATCACTGTTGATATTATGGTTATCATCACTTCGAGGCTGCACGGTGTTTGGGGTATCGTCAGAAATGCACAATGGAGATTTTCCTTGGCCGACCGGGGTATCGTTACTTTCAGCTTCGAAGGATGGCACGATTTCATTAACGTTTAAAAGTCTACTATTGGCAGAAATTTTCTTCTCTGAAGTTACAGGGCTGAGCTTGCAGTCCCTCTTAGGACTATTAATGGGAGAAAAGTTATATTCAGGAAGAGAAAGAATCCGTCCAAGGGTCTTCGGAACATGTCCCCTTAAAAAATCTGCACTTTCATCCCCACTGCTAAGCTTCTCAGAAAGATGTTTCTTCGCCTCCCCATAAATATTAGATGGGCTCCTTCTATTGTTATAAATATTTCCCAAATCTTGATTTATTTCCAAGCTTTTGAGTTTTCCAGGCTTCTCTCCTCTCGCGCCATCAGTGGAAGGCCTGGCAATTCTTTCAATAAAAAAGTGGTTCTTACTAGAAGAGTTTCTTGCACCATTTTCCTTAACAACACCCTTTTCACTCTCCCTCGAAGAGTGACGATCACGAGGAAATCTATTCGAACCGTTAGCAGAGAGTTCATGGTGATCTTTTCCCATAGCATATTTAAACCTCCTCTTGATTTCAGCAAGAAAAAAGTTAGAACTAATCCTCTCAGTAAGCACTTCCCTTTTATCGTTAGCAGTAGAATGTTGGGCTGATGGAGGAATGCTGCCAGCCTCAGAATTCACCAAAACTTTCGCCCCTGGCTTCAGGATTACAATTTTACTCGACGCGTCAGAATTTTCATTCCCTTTCGATAACTTCCTACCCCGATGCTTGACCTTTCGCCTGAAAAATAGACGTTGCTTAGTATCAACAAGTTCCTCAGACTGCTTAACTTCACTGAACTTGTGTGCCTTGGGTTCCTCAACTTTTTCTAATGACAAATCATGCAAATTCCTAATGTACTTTAGCAACACAGAGTTCGGGTTTTGTGCAAGTTCTAGAAACAGCTCGTTGTCCGAATGGGGAATCTGAAGTGCATCCATGATCTCTCTGGAGTGTTGAGCTTTGTGAATTTCAGCGAAATCTTTCCCAATATTGAACTTCTGGCCTAAATATTCCTTAATAGCATCAACCACTTTTTGTTCTAAATCAGCAAGGTACCCATTTGATTGCGCATCTGCTTTGTCATCCGGGTCGAATTTCACTTCACTCGTGCTCTTCCGATGGATCTGACTGTAAATCTCCTTCAGCATCACATCAACAGGAAGATTATTAGCACTTTGATCCTCCAAAAACTGAGCAGCATTAAGGGAATCGGCATCGATGTCACAGCTTTTCTTGCGACACTTCTTTGCCATTTTCGGGTCAGTCGTCTTTACGTGGCCCGAGTGGTCGCACTCGATCCTCCTCGAGCCTTGCTCATTGAACATCTCCTCTTCTATGAGTTTCTTCACACTAGGCTTTCCAATGTCCAATGTCTTACGTTCTTCACTGTCCTGAAATGTACACAATGTCCAATCAATTAGAACATAAACCATTCATCCACTCTGCCAGAAAATGATCAACATGGGGAGAACTTACCAAATCTTCATCCAAATTAGCTAAAACCTCAAACTTATTTCTTGAATTTTCAGTACCTGAAGAAGAACAGATACGAGAAGATTCAGAACCAAGTGACACTATATAAGGTTTAATTTAAGCAATCAACCTAAACTTATGATAGCAATTAAGCTCTTATCATTATAACTCCTTTAGTTTCGAGTTGTCACAATTATTAAACCCTAAACCCTAAACCCTAAAGCGCCTCCAAATTATTAAAATTATTGCAGTTCTACTCACAAACTTGGGAAATTATTACAATTCAACTCAACCACCAACAAAGTTATAGCAATAGAGTTTAATTGCAATGAATTCGTAAGTCCAGCGGTTGGTTGTTCTAACTGAGAGTTTCTGGTGCTTCCAACAATTCTCATAGGTTATGAGTGTTCTTTTTTTGCAATTTTCGACCAAGAACAAAAAAAATAATTGATGAACAAGAACTTGCAGATCAGAAGTTGAGGAAATTAAACTCAAATACAGAGCAAAATTCTTTCGATCTACGAAAAATCTGTGTAAAAAAATTGCATTCTTACCAACAGTTTGCCTGCTCGGACGCTTCTTGTCCGCTAATAGCTTTCTGGAGGCGCGGCCATGGCGGAAATCAAATAAACTAATCAAACCCCACATACAGCCTGACTGATCCTTCTCGTAACGAACCGTCACTCTTTTGGACTTCTTCGCCATTTTCTTAGAAGATTCCGTCCAGAATTTAATTCTCTAACATGGCTGCACGAACTCTGACGACAAGAATGAAGAAGAAGAAAACAACTTAGAAATGACTGGCTAAAGAATTTCTGGCTTTCCTTTTCCCGAGAAATTCACCGACAAGTTAACCTCGAGGACAGGCGCTAGGAAATCCAGAGTGGCGAAGAACAGGCATGGAATCCAGATGATCAATCGGGAGAAACACAGCCAAAATTCAATCACAACTTCTTGAGATGGCAAGGTATCAAATCCGAGCGTTATAACGTGCTCAGAAATTCAGCACAATCTTATGATATCGAGAGATTCGGAGTTTACTTGAAAGAAAAGACAACTGAGGGACCATTATCTCCTCCAAAGTAAAGAAATCATGGTTGCAAATGGTTCATGATGGTTTTTCCTCAATTTCTTCTCATCAGAGGTCGATCAAAAGCATTAAAATCCAAATTCTCTGATTCAGTAACAATTTCACGATTTCTGGTTCAGTTCGATCAAACGCACCACAGTTCACAAATCGTCCTCTATCTCGAACTGATTCAAAGTCCTTCACAAAATTTTCTGAAAAACGATTACACTCTCCAAATCGAACTGAAATTGCTCGAAATCAAACCAAATTCACTCGAGGCCAAAAGTTCTTCCAAATCCAACACAGAAATTCCAAAACATCACACTCCACTTTAAAATGAACACCCCAACCCCGCTCTCTCCATGTCCAAAAATTTCAGCAATTCCACAGACGGCACGAAGAACAAAAACAACAGCAAGACTTTCAAAATGTAGCCATCTCTGTTGACAACCAACCAAAAGGAGGAGCAGATGCTAATCTACCACCGACCCTTTATCTTCACGCGTAGAATTCGCATATTGGCCGCCATTAAAGACGCGGAAGAAAAAAAAAAAAAAAAAAAA